CAAAATTTAAAATATTAAATTCAAAATATCAAACTATAAGTTTCAACTGGATGAGATAAGGAAAACTCGTCATTACATTTAAACAAGATCCCTGTTACTGTATTAATTTTCATTCATGCCACAAACTGAATAATAGAATAATCATATTGGGGAGGTACAAGATTCAAAAAATGTTTGATAGACTGTGGTGGTCTCCTGGCAGCTGGCTGAGGCTTCACTGTGGACTTCCAGCCTCGAGGTGAAGCCTGGGGCGGTCTGGAGGCTAGGTGCCAGCATAGACTGGGTCGGAAGGACTGTTACTCTGAACTTTTATTTCTTTATTTTTGTAATTTATTCCTACAATCTGTAGTGTTGGACTTTATTTCTTTATTTTTGTATTTTTTTTCCCTAAGAATTTGTACTTAAGAATCTGTACCTAGGTACCTTTGTACCTAAGATGCGCCGTACGTGGCAACTTTAAACATTTTGCTGTACTCATTTGAGTACATGTAACAATAAAGCGAATTCTAATTCTAGAAGTTTAGGTAGATTAAAATATTCAAAATGAGAATAATGCTACATTTCTGAGGAAAGTTAGAAATTCTTCAAAATTTAAACAGCTTAAAGCTAGGGTCTGTTTGAATCTGGTGACATTAATACTTTTGAAGCCTTTTTAGCAAATCAAACCTACAAAGCCTAATGTAACTTTGACACATAATGATCCCACTTGCTACTTGGTCAGGATTAATTTACTTGTTACACATGTAATTCATCAAATTGAAGGATTTACCTTCATGAAATCTATCTGAAAACACTGCGTGCAATAACTTGGCAAACTGTGACCGAATGCAAATCAAACCGTTTTAGTTTATCACTGGCTATTTCAATTAGACCTACTAATTCAACCTGTAAAATATTTGTCTTTGTGAAATAATACAACAAAAACATGTCAATGTGCCCTCAATAGTGGTTCACCATACTGAACTTCAAACAAGATGTGAACTATCATGACGACAGATCAGAACCCGGAAGCATATTAAAAAAAAATGATTAAAAATCAACTGCAATTCCTAGGCAGCATCTGTTAAGAGCCCTGAAGTACTCTGAGGATATATGGGAGGATGGCTGATCCTTTCGTGGACTCAGATATATGGGATCACCACCACTTTCAAGTTCCCCTCCAAGCCGCTCACCAACTTGACTTGGAAACATAATCGCTGTTCCTTCACACTCTGCTTTCTTTCCACAGATGCTGCCAGATCTGCTGCGCGTTCCCAGAATTTTTGTTCGTCAGATTCATTTTCCAAATTCAAAATTTATCTCGGGATCGAAAAAGATACTTATGACTCTGCTTCTATCGCATGGGGATGAAAGTTCCAAAGATTCACGACCCTCAACTCTAACTTAAATGGAAGATCCTTTATTTTTAAACTGTGATCTCTAGTTCCAGTCTCACCCACAAAGCTAACAATCAGATAAACCTTGTTTAAACTGCTAACGCATTTGTATTCTTTCTTAAACATGGGGATTGAAATGTAATTATTCGCTTCTGATTAACAATTTTATTGTTGGAATGTCATTTTCAAGAAACACTACAAGAACAATTTTACAAAATTTATATATTACCAGTGGAAAGTCTCATCTGCCCAACTGTGCGCTTTGGAAAAAGCATGCTACTCACAAATTTCCTTCATTAATTATAACAGACTGCAAACTTTGAACATATTGTCAGCTTTTTCCTGAAAAGCAGCTGCAGAGAGTAGGCAGAAAATCAGACAATTATTGTCAGAAAGGTCAGCATGAGGGACAGAGAGGGGATAGATTGGAGTTTGCAACTGGACACTTCAGAGGAGATTGGGTGAAATTGGGAAGACTAGGTGCAGAGGCAATGGAAGAGGTGAGGTTTGAGAGAGATTATGGCTCAGAGGATGAAACGTCCATAGGTACCAGAGTGATGGGTTTGAGATTTGATATTATAATATCCCTTCAGGTTTAAATCACCCATTTTGGGGAGGGGGGGGGGTGATTAAAACTGCCACCTATCACAGGTGAGCATTCTTCATTCTGATCAATCAGACAAACATTCCATTGCTTGCCTTACTCACAGTGCAAATCCCTGGAAATGAGAAAGGATTGACAGGGAATTCTATGAATTCGAAGCTAATGTGAAAAAGACTATGAAATACCTGTGGGCAATTGTAAACATTGTTTCTAGCAAGTATCATTCTTTTGCCTTTGACTGCACAATTTAAAAGTGATGCCCCTGTTCAAACAGCCTGAATCTTACAGCAGTAAGTCATACCCAATTGCCACAAACTGTACGAGAAGAAATGCTTCAAGTAACCATGCCCTCATCAAATTAGCCTCAACTCATTTGAAAACATTAACTGCATGCAATGAAAGGCTACTTTCAAAAGAAAGACTAAATTTTAAATTTAAATCGGCCTTACTCTTCGAAAAGCAATAAAGTTTCTAACAGGAAAAACAGAAAGAAAAAGTCTTTAGAAGTGATTAAGACATCACAGTGTTCTCTCTCCTAACACTGCAACCATATTTTATACGTCAAACTTCCCTCAGGGTCAGTTCTCTCCCTCCCCACCTCCAAAAAAGCTTCAAGAGGAAGTACCAAAGGAGCATTGTGGACAATATCTTTGAGATGATGGGTGTGGGTGTAAAAATCCAGAGAAGGAGAGATGAGACCAAAAGGCCAGCTGGCCTAGAAAGTTTTCTCCATGAGGGATAACTAAATTTTGAAAATATGGGAAACTGTAAAAGGTAGTAATTTTATTAATTTAGTGCTTCTTTGCATGAAATTTGATCAGGGTTTACAAATGGTCCTTATATGAATTCTAGACTTGCAAAGGAAACCTTTAACAAAATATTAATTAAATTTAACTGCCATATTTTTAACACACTCAAAACAAAACAAGTGGTATTTTGCTCAACCTTCAGCTCAATGTTTTGCATAATGGCTAATGGATATTATATATAAATTTGGTACACCAGTCATGAGTTTCCAGGTAAGTTTCTATGTCAGCTCTGGTCATGCGATAACATTATAACAAAATAGATTCAAAAATTTGAAAGCAGTTACATTATGTTTGCTTTTTAAACAAGTGTTAAATAACTTACTAGGCCACAAGTAGGTATATGCTTGCCCACAACTATAGTGTGTTTCATATTAGGAAAAGAAAGAAAGGAGGTATTCTTTACCCAGATGTTGGACTTCTGGCAATTGCAAATAAGAGGCTGAAAGTTTGTTTGAGGCTGCCACTTCAGCAGTGGCTTTCTGGAGGAGCCACTGCCAGTACCAACTGCATTCATGAAAGTCAGGCCTTAGAACTCCCTGCAATCTACAATCAAAGGTTTTACATTTTTTGACCTAAATGTGGAACTTAGAGATGCATGAATACTCCTCCTGACTCAAAAGTTAATGAAAGTTCACTTCAGTTCCAGAAGGTTGAAAGCTAGCCCCTTTTTTAAATCCCGTTTGCTCCGTCAAATTGGGTGAAAGAATAAAAGCATCCATGTATACAAAGGATGGATAGAATGTCTTATCATTTAACACTTAAAACAAACAAGTTATATTTTGAAAACAAACAAGCCTGACTGAAATAGATAAGAAAAGCATGTAAAGATTAGTTTCCTCTCACTGCCTACCATCGGTATGGGATTGAGAAGTAATGATGATGAAAGATTAAGGGTAATGCAAGCTACATAAAGCATGAGGGGCAAATGGATGTGGCTGGATGGAAAGTTGAAAGATGGTAGAAATGGTTCAAGTTCATGGGAAAGTGAAGGTGGAGGATACAGAATAGAAATAAGTTGGGTGGCTGTTAGTGAGTAATTGAGAGGCTGGGGGTGGGGTTCGTAGTTGGGAGAAGACTGGAACAAGAGGTGCTGTTAAGAGCAAGATTTTATTGTCAACTGCCTAAATTCACTTGCAGGTATTTTGTATTCTTTCTCAATGATTACAAGTCACCCAAGTGGCCAAGAAAATGAGAAAGGAAAAGTGTAATAAAGACAGAAATTGCTGGGGAAATTCAGCAGAACACCTGAAGGGGAGTCACTGGAGTCATAGAGGCATGAAGATGTACAGCACGGAAAAAGACTCTTCGGTCCAACTTGTCCATGCCAACCAAATATCCTAATGTAATCTAGTCCTACTTGCCAGCATTTGGCCCATACACTTCTAAACCCTTCCTATTCATATGTACATTCAGGTGTCTTTTAAATGTTGTAATTGTACCAGCCTCCACCATTTCCTCTGGCAGTTCATTCCATACACACACCACCCTCTGCATGAAAAAGTTGCCCTTTAGGTTCCTTAAAAATTTTTTCGCTCTCTAGTTTTGGATTCCCCTACCCCGAGAAAAAGACCTTAACTATTTACCCTATCCTTGCCCTTCATGATTTTATAAATCTCTATAAGATCACCCCTTAGCCGCCAAAGCTCCAGAGTAAATAGCCCCAGGCAATTCATCCTCTCTCCATTGCTCAAACCCACCAACTCTGGCAACATCCCTGTAAATTTCTCCTGAACCCTTTTAGGTTTAACATCTTTCCTATAGAAAGGATACTAAATTGAACTCAGTATTCCAAAAGTGGCCTAACCATTATCCTGTACAGCCACAACATGACCTCCTGATTCCTATACTCAATGCATTGACCAAAAAAGGCAATGTACTTGCCTTACTTCTTCACGACCTTGTCTACCTGTGACTCCATTTTCAAGGAACTATGAACTCGAAACATTAACTCTACCTTCTCTCCATGGATGCTGCAAGACCTGCTGAGTTTCTCCAGCAAATTCTGTTGTTGTTTCAGATTTCCAGCATCCGCAAGTCTTTCTTTTATATTAAGGAGTAATGGAAACAAGAGATATGGATACAGCAACGGCAAGTGAAAGAAAAATTACAAAGGTTCTCAGAATCAGTGCTTCCAAAGTCTCAGGGAATCAATGCACTGAATAAATAAAATTAACTATTTAATGCTCAATTGTAAACTCCTCCAACCCTTACCTTTTCTTCCTGTACTGTTTTCTTTCCTCTCGCTGCTTGGCCAGTCTCTCCTCCTCTTCATCATGACTGTGACAAACGAATGGTAAAATACTTACAAAAATAATTACTCTGATTATCTATCTCAGCAAAATTCATTTGAGAAATTCATTTCAGTATGACGTATTTATTTTTGTTATTTAAATTGACATAACTAACTTTATTTGCTGTGACTCAATGTTTAGACTATGAGCTGCTTTCTTCATTGTTCTTATCTTTTGCTATTACTGGATTTGTTAAGACCAATTAAACACGGAGTGGATCAAAAGATTTGGTGAAGCTGTTTACAAGCCTTATATCATATAATCGTACAGCACAGGAAGATGCCTTTCGGCTCATGGTAAGGTATCAGCTTTCTTGAAAGACCTATCCAATTCGATCCAACTTCCTGCTGTTTCCCCAAAGCTCTGCGATTCTCCCCCTTTCAGTCTACATACAATTCTGTTTTCAAAGTCTCTATTGATTCCAGGGTAGCATGGTGGCTCAGTGGTTAGCACTGCTGCCTCACAGCACAGGGATCCGGGTTTAATTCCACCCTTGGGCAACTGTCTGTGTGGAGCTTGCATGCTCTCCCCATGTCTGCGTGGGTTTCTGCTAAGTGCTCCACTTTCCTCTCACAATCCAAAGATGTGCAGGTTAGGTGGATTGGCCATGTTAAATTGCCCACAGTGTTCAAGGATGTGTAGGTTAGGTACGTGAGAAATGTAGGGTTACAGGGAAAGGGCAAGGGGTTGGGTCTGGGTGGGATGCTCTTCAGAGGGTTTTTCTGTTTCCACACTGTAGGGATTCTATGATTCAGATTCCGTCAACATGGCAGAGCTATTATACAGGCCTAAATGCATGCCAAGTAGTGGATGTTTTCAAAAGAGCTAAATATTCCCCCAAATAACGTTTCACAAAGTGCTGCAATCCTCCTGCGCTCTGCCATCAAAGGTAGTGGACAATTATACAAAAAAATAGGATGCTCCATGAACATCATGATCTTCAACAGTGGCAGAGCCCATGAACCTCGCTAAACAAAGTTGATGTGTTTACAATCAGGTTCAGTTAAAAGTACTAACTTAATGCCCATCTCCTCCAGAAGTCCTTAGCGAAGCTAATCTTCAATCAAATGGAATAACCCACGGACTGTCACAAAACAGATGAGTGTACGTGAGAAAGCAAAGGCTCTAGCAATGAAGGCTTACACACCAGAGTTAGCTGCCCACAGGCTTAATTGTTCTGAAACAACACTTATCTATTTAACAATGTGTAAAATTGCCAAGATGTGGAGGTGCCGGTGTTGGATTGGGGTGGACAAGATCACAAATCACACAACACCAGGTTATAGTCCAACAGGTTTATTTGAAAACACAAGTTTTCAAAGTAAGACTCTGAAAGCTTGTGTATTCAAATAAACTTGTTGGACTATAAACTGGTGTCGTAGAATTGCCAAGGTATGCCCTGACCACAAAAGCAGAGCAAGTCAATCTCATCAACTATCAACTGAGTTTTCAGCAGCAAATAACTCACCTCTTGACTCCCCGAGGCCTTTCTAGCAGTCACCAGCACAAGTCAGAAGCAGGGGTAAAAACAATTCTACACACATGAAGTCTTCACCAAATGCAACTTCCATGGATTGAAAAGATCACAGCTAATTCATTTTATTTTTCTGAAGAAGGGTCCAGACCCGAAACGTCAGCTTTCCTGCTCCTCTGATGCTGCCTGGCCTGCTGTGTTCATCCAGCTCTACACCTAGTTATCACAGCTAATTCATGTTTACGTTACAAAGCTAGAACACTTTAGCCAGACAATTATTATGCATTTTACTGCATTTCAGATTTAAATGTAACAATGTGATAGATGGGCTAGACTTCCAACAAAACTAGCAAATCAAGACTAGCAATATCTGAGAGGTTTTTGGGCCATTGGCAGCAGCAGAAATGTACTCCAACACAATCTCCAATCTCAGGGCATTGCATATCTTCTCTCTAGCATTACCATCAAGCCACGGGAATTAATCCTGGTTCGACGAAGAGTGCACATGGGCATGGCACGAGCAGTACCAGGTATACCTAAAAATGAGGTCTCAACTTAATGAGGCTACAACATTGCAGTACTTGCTGCTTTTGCTGTTTAGCCCACTCATGATACACTGACCTAAATGATTCCATAAACAAAGGATCAGATCTTCTCAGAAAAATGGGTCACCCAGTAAGGACAGGAATAATGACGAATTTCTTCTCCAGAAAGGAACAAATCTGTGGAATTCTTTACCACAGACAAGTATATTCAAGGCTGAAACATGGCTGATTAAAGATTTTTAATCAGTGAGGGAATCAGGAGTTATGGGGAAAAGGCAAGAAAAGTGAAGTTGAGGATTTTCAGATCAGCCATCATCTCATTGAATGGAAGAAAAGACTCGATGGGATGAATAGCCTATTTCAGATTTTAGTTCTTATGGTCTCTGCAGTCTTGCAGCATCCAATAGTGAACTGTGGTCAGCATTCTTCATTCACTCCACACAACATCAAGAAAGGGCTGAATGCATTGGATATTAGAAAGGCTGTAAGTCCTGATAACAGTCCAGTAATAATACTGACGAAGTATGCTCCAGAATCAACCACGCCCCTAGGCAACTGGTCAAGTACAGCGATAATACTGGCACTTACCAGACAATGTGGAAAATTGCCCACCAACTTCCTGCACGCAAGAACAGGACAAATCCAACCCAGGCAATTACTGCCCCTTCAGACTCCTCTCAATCATCAATAAAATGATGGAAGCTATCAAGAGAGCTTGCAAGCAGCATTGATTTAGCAATAAATTACCAACTGACTCTCATTTTGGGTTCTGCTTGGGCCACAAAGCTCCTGACCTCCAACAAAGTTCAGTAGATGAAACGCACACCATCTAGAAGATGCACAGCCGAAATTCACCAAGGATCCTCAGACAGAACCAGTGTGACTGAATCCAAATTCTGGAACCCCTCCCTAATGGTATTGTGGATGTACCTACACCAAAAGGTCTGCAATGGTTCAAGAAGGGTTTACACCACCACATTCTCAAGGCAACCAGGAACAGACAATAAATACTGGCCCAACTAATGTTATCCATATCCTATAAATTCATTTTTAAAAAATTAGCAGTGTTTATTACAATATATCCAATATATTTCCAGCATATAACAACTAAACTTTCACAGCCTTCAACAATAGATGCACATTCTTTTTTATCTCAGCGGTACCATGATTTCGGTCTTCCAATTAGCTGACTATTTGCTTTGTTGATGTTTAAAACTGTTCTCTCTTCTCTGTAGTCTTTATCACCATCCTCCTTTCCACCCCACCATCTCCCTTGCCGCCAGAGTGTCTCTTACCCCCTCCAACCTCTTTCTAGTTCCCTTCTTCCTCCCAACCTTCATGTAGCTTCCTTTTCTCCCTCCATCCCTCTTACAGACACGCTCATCCCATGGGATTGAGGAGCCAGCACTCCCAGCATCATTCCCCACCTCGGCAAAAGACTCCTCACAGCTTTGGCAACAGGCCCAGCAACCCCAGATGTGGCTTATGGCTTGCCCGTCTCCCCAGTATTCCTGCCCACAGGCACAGTTCCTGGCTGCAGCAAAAAGCAGCACAGAACTTGCTCATTGCCAGCACTTAACAGTCATTTTTTCTTCCTAACGGAAGTTGTTTCTTTCCCATATTTGCTGTTGATAGGTACACTTATGCCTTCTTTCAGATTGGCCGCCTCTATGCTTTAATTCTCCTGGGTGTGTTTGGGTGTATAATTTGCCGGTCTCCCTTGTATATTTTAAGTATGGGTAAGCGATGGCCGAGTGGTATGGGTAGGCGATGGGCTAGTGGTATTATTGCTAGACTATTAATCCATGGACCCAGGTCATGTTCTGGGGACATGGGTTTGAATCCCACCGAGGCAGATGGTGGAATTGGAATTCAATAATAATCTGGAATAAAGAATCTGGTGATTCTTGCTGATTGTCAGGAAAAGCCCACCTGGTTCACTAATGTCCTTTAGGGAAGGAAACTGCCATCCTTACCTGATCTGGCCTACATGTGACTCCAGACCGACAGCACTGCGGTTGACTCTGAACTGCCCTCTGGGCAATTAGGTATAGGCAATAAATGCTGGTCCAGCCAGCGATGCTCACATCTCATGAACAAACTAAAAAAAATTGCTGATTGAAAAGTGTAATGAAACACTTTTCACTGGTCCAGACGAAAGTGGTTCCAAAAGTTTTACAAGATGTTCAATGCCATATGGGACAGAATGGTATACTTAACTGACACCCATTTACCATTTTAAACATTCACCTTCTCCACAACAGACACTTAGTGCGCATCATCTACAAAAAAAAAATCCTCCAAATCTGTGGACTCGAGCTCCTAAAAGGACAAAGGCAGATGTCATGTGGGAACACAACCACTTACAAGTTACCATCCAAGTCCCACCTGGGGTAGCAAAATAGAGGGACTGGTGGAAAAGCATTGCCAAATGTTGAGCAAAATGTAAGTGGAATGCAAAGGAGGTCAGAGTCAGAGAGATAAAGAGTGTGTTCTGGATCATGATTGAATTGATTATAGAAATACGAAGCAGAAAGCATGATCAGATTTGTAAATGAGAATAAGTAGTCTGAACTTTGCTGTGGGAAACAGAAAAGCTGAAAGTCAGAAATGTGAAGACAAAGAGCAGGACTTAGAGGGTAAGATACAATAGGACAGGATAATTAAGGATACATAGGCCAAGATGATGTTTTCGATAAGTTGCAATTTGCAGCAGAGGCAGATCTTAGGAAGTTGGCAAAAAATTCACTGGAGTGAATCAAGATGTGACAAAAAGTGAATAGAATTTTAACAGCAGAGTGAATATAGGCAAACAATTTTCATAATAGCTCTGCTCCACTTCAAATTACTGTAGCTTTTTTAAATGCACTGGAACATACTTGATTTCCTTGAATTAAAATGCAGATAATAAAAGTATCCTGAGGAAAGCCTACGAGATCTTTGTCAAGAAATCTCAGGGAAATGGCATTTAAAGAAAGTATTGTTCTTTGCATTTGAGCCAACTGGGGAAACTGGAAAGAACTGAATGTAGGTAGGAAAAAAAAAGCAATTTATAGCATTAGCAAGTGGCAAAAAGAGTATAGTGATTTAAAACCAACAAAAAACGCTGCAGCACAGCTCTGGTGGGTGTAACTTTACATGATTTGTTCCTCACACTGTTACTTCTGTTTCTTTGTTCCCCACTTGAATTAGTGCATAAGAACTTTAATATCCAACTGTTTTCAAATTGGCCCCAGATGATTCAACAGCCATTTTTATTTTCAAGTTGTTGGTAAAGCAACTCAAAAGGATTTCTGAAGAAGGGTCTAGGCCCGAAATGTCAGCCTTCCTGCTCCTCTGATGCTGCTTGGCCTGCTGTGTTCATCCACCTCTACACCTTGTTATCTCAGGCCACTTAACTGCTCATTTTATGTTGAGCCAAGCTATGAACACATAATTTGTTTAACAAAATCTGAGTAATGTGCACTAGACCAGCACGATGTTGTTCTATGGAGCATCGTAGTATTTATTTGTGCTATTGCAGTGCCCCAATGAACATGCAATTAGTAAAGAGTGTGAAAACTGGTCACTTATAAACATTATTGACTTTAAAAAACGCAATTTTCTGCCTTTACATCAAGCAAGGAGCAAACATATTGAATTTTACATTTTTGGCATAACTAATGGAGCCAGACTTTTGAGTAAGCATCATTCAAAAATGTTGAACAGCAAACTTATAAACTCAATTTCTATTTTGTAATAGTAGGTCTGTTCAGGGTTTGAGTGAAGATTTGTAGCTCGGGTGCTGGCTGTAGATGTTGGTGTGTTCGCCGAGCTGGAAGGTTTGATAGCAGACGTTTCATCCCCTTACTAGGTGACATCCTCAGTGCTGTGGAGCTTCCTGTTAAGCGCTGTTGTCTTGTGCCAGTTCAAATTTATATGTCTGCTATCAAGCCCGTCAGCTCGGTGAACACACCAACATCTATAGTAGGCTCGTGCCTGGGAAGGATTTTACAAATGGTGTGGATATATTCCTTTTATGAAAAAACAATTATCACTTAGCATCGTCTACCTATATTACATCAGCAAGTCAGATCCACAAGGCTGACATATAAATTCAGATGCTTTCCATAGGCTAAATGTATTTTTTAACAGTCAGTAATACGTGGCCATTTTGCTCTGGCATTCTGCTTTTAAATGAAACTTATGGTTTTGAGAGCTGTAAGTGACTGGGACTAGACTGCAATGCATGCTCAGAATATTTATAAAAAGATAATTACCCATGGGATTTCCTCTTGCAACAGCAACATACTTTCTTCTTGCAACAGCAATAACAGCAGCAACATACCAAAGGCAGCAGAATGAGTCCTCCAACCACAGACATGGCAATGATCAAACATTCAAAGTTCACTGCAGAAAAATAACATTAACAGAACTCAGGACAAGAATAACTCAGCACTGTGATCAAAACTGTTTCAAAATGACCAAAATGTCCCAGCAATTTGTTTTCAGTATTTGATCAGGATTTCCAATATACTATTTGCCATTAAATTCATTTCCTTTATTGATGTCAAATTGATCCCTCTTTCATTTCAGGTGAGCTTGTCATCAATTCCAGCAGGATTCTCGTGACCTGTTGTTCTATTTATGTTCAGAAACAGAACCAGAAGATTGTGGAAATGAGGAAAAGTAGAGAGATATAGACTGAAAACAAACCAACACACACAGCTACTGTGATAGCAATTCAGGACAAATATCTTGTTTGCATGTTGCACTGTTCACATCAATTTTCCTGGTCTTCTAATTTTAATATGGTCAGGAGAGTTATTTAACAGTCTCATTAGTAAACCTGAAGGAAAATAGCCATAATGATTAGACGTTAACAACCTGACATGCAACACAATGATTATTTCGAAAACTAGTTATTTCGAGTTCCACATTTACTCATTTCAAAATGAACTCAATACAAGTTATGTTAATTGGCCAACTTTAAGAGAATTCTACGAATGCTCTTCTATCATAGTTTCCTGTTACAAACAGGAAGGAAGTCAAGTCCAAGAAACTCAACATAAACGAAATGCTCATCGCAGGTTAAAGTATTTGCATGGACAAAAAAGATAAAAAGGACAAGATGCTTCAATCTGCTTTGCTGAATTTAAAAAAACTGATTAAGAAGGAAACCAAAACCTAAACATATAAATCAAGTTATGAGATTTACTTATTAGAATATTCTTACAGATGTTTGCGTCTCAATCACAAAAGCATGATATGAATCTAACTCACACTCAATTCATAAAAGTGGTTCCAAAAGCAGACCATGTAGTATCCTTTGATCACAACTGAATTTAGAGTATGAGCACCAACATGCTTCCTTTAATTGTTTGCAGTTACAACAATACAAAAAGATTTGAAATCAGTGCCTCAGAAGAGGTGGGTTTTATTTTAAAACATTGCCCCAAAATTACACTTTTTTTCTTCCAAGGCAGTGGTAATTCAATTTATTCTGCAATCGCTTCCAATAAACCTGAGTCACCTGTTAGAAGACCTAGGAAGCTCAGAGGAAAGGAGGGATCTTGGGGTGCTTGACTTTAGATCCCTGAAGGCAGCAGGGCAGATTAATAGGGTGGTTAAGGCAGCATACAGGACACACGCCTTTATCAGTTATTGCATTGATCATAAGAACAGGGAGGTTATCCTGCAACCGTAAAAATATATTGGTTAGACTACAGCTTGAATACGGTGTGCAGTTCTGGTCACCACACTATAGGAAGGGTGTGATTGCACTGGGGGAGGTGCAGAGGACATTCGCCAGGATGTTACCTGGTTGTAACAATTTATGTATGAGAGGAGGACTGGCTTGAGTTGCTTTCTTTAGAGCTGAGAAAGCTAAGAGGGTCCTGACTGAGATGTGTAAGATTATGAGGGGCATGGACAGGAAATAGCTGTTAATCTCAGTTGAAGGGTGAATACAAGGGGGCATAATTTTGAGATAAAGGGCAGGAGGTTTAGAGGGAATTTGATGTAAGTTTTTTTTCACCAGCGGGTCATGGGTAGCTGTAATACACGGCCTGGGAGAGAAATGGAGGCAGGAAATCTGATAACTATTAATAAGTACGTGAATGAGCACTTGAAATGTTATAATATGCAAGGCTATGGGCCAAGTGCTGGGAAGTGGGATTAGCGTAGATAGTCCATGGTCTTTGGCCTATTCTATACTGCGTGATGCTAAGGTGCACAAAAATGGCCCCCAAATGACTTTACTGTCACCTTCTCCCTCACTCCATAGTCCGAAATAACTGAGTAGTGCTCATCACATCCCCAAAATGAATGAGACGAAATTTGAGGGTGCAGGGGCTTGGGAGGGGGACACAGAGAGATTGCTCTGTGGTGTCCCAAACTCTGGACATTATAAACTCTATCCTTGCTCTTGTCATTTAGTATTGGTAAAGAAAACACAAATTGTGGACATCTGAAATAAAGATAAGAAAATGCAGGTGCAAAGGTCATTATTGAATGTAAAAGATAAATAATTTAACATTGTGTTTCTAATTTTTTGTCATTTGTGCTGCACTTGAAGGTCAGTCACATTCTTCTCATCCATCTGATAACTCAGTGTATGGTACTGTACTGAATTCAATCATGCTTGTTCCTTGCTTTGGTATAGAATCTTACAGAAAAACATGGTCAATCTCTAAGAACGTTATTGTAAAATTTACTAATTTAGTCAAAAATTTCAAAACAAAGAACTATTTCATTTGACATTTTTTAAAATCTATGTCAGGTCTACATGGAAAACTTCAACCAACCTCAGATTTCTCCGATTTTCCTACAATACATAACATGCCCATTTAGTGGAAAACATTGACAGTTTGGTTTCCCTTTGCTCAGGTGCAAAGGAATCCAACTGAGTCTATTTACACCTGATCATTAAAAAACCTCAGAAACCTATTCTGTAGAGATTAAGAGCAGTGAAGCTACAACAGTAGAGATGTTTCCAAGACTGGAGGCTTCATATTTTTTGTTAAAGTGTAGTTCTGCCACCTAGTGTTTTTATTCCTCTGTTTATTGACAAAAACATTTGGCAAAAATTATTTCACTGACATACTCTGCTGTATTACATATTATTGACTTAAACAGATAATTGAAAGCAAAAAAGAAAAGAATAGTACATTTATATACTTAAAAATGTCTCTTGCTCATCTGAAGCAACATAATTTCTTCTCTATTCAAGCAGTTCACTGGTGCCACGTGTGAGACGGGGCTAAGACAGTATCTGAAACTTCCATACGAACAATTTTTCCTCCAAGATGTATAAATGGCTGGGGTGCAGTTGGTGGTGGTGGTGGTGGTGGTGGTGGGGTGGGGGGGGGTGGTGGTGGGGGTCGGGGTGGAATCTTTCATCTTCCTTTAAGTTCAGTGACAAGATACATGCAAATATGAGAGTCGCTGTACTACTTCCAAACAATACAAAGAGACTGAATTATAAACACTTCAACAGTAGGAATCATCGAAGAGGTCATTGTCTAGAAGAAATTCTGGACATTGCGTTAAAAGCACTTCATGAACAGTCTATATGCATTAGGAAGCAGCATTACTCTCAAATCCCACATGGCTTTTGTGTGATCAGGAATAAATATGAATGCATAAACATTTTTTTCATTTTCAATTGCATTTAAATTATCACCCAATCAGAAACGTGCTGATTAGTTAAACTGATCAAATGAATACCTTTTATGAGGCAAGAAAGCATAGCATTGAAAGAAAAGAAACTTGGATTTTACTCTGAATGAACTTAGAAAGTAAACATTTTCAGATACTTTATTACAGCTACAGTACTGGGCTAACATCTTGCTGCATGCCTAAGACTAGGGAGCCTATTTACTACTGTTTACGTGAAAAATTGCCCTTGAACCTTCTAACTTCACTTCTTTTTCAATTTAAGAAGAAATGAGCTTCCTGGCCTTGCCAGACTGGGACAACTGATACAGTCTCTAATACTATGTATGGTAATAGGCCAACAAGTAAATAGGTTATTCATGACATTCAACTAAATGCAAGATCTCGCATGAATCAGGTCCTGAGGAGATACACAATTCTAGCCATGTCTCAGAAAATTTAAGAATAAGCTGGATCTATTTTTAACCGTCAGTATTGGACATTATTTAATCAATGATGACAACTTAGGCACGGTGGCTCAGTGGTTAGCACTGCTTCCTCACAGCACCAGAGACCCGGGTTCGATTCCACCCTTGGCCGACTGTCTGTGTGGAGTTTGCACATTCTCCCCATGTCTGCGTGGGTTTCCTCCGGGCGCTCCGGTTTCCTCCCACAGTCCAAAGGTGTGCAGGCTAGATGGATTGGCCATGCTAAATTGCCCGTAGTGTTCAGGAATGTGTAGATTAGGGAGTATGTGTCTGGGTGTGATGGTCTGAGTGTCGGTGTGGACTTGTTGGGCCGAATGGCCTGTTTCCACACTGTAGAGATTCTATGATAATCGCTAGCATACACACTAATGATATGCATCTATTAGTCTTCTTATAAAGATACTGACATAACCACAAACTTGAAGCAGGCTGAAGAAACACTGAAGTCTGCCCCTCTTCAAAGAAATTGTCTTAACCTGGAACAAAAACAGAAGCTGCTGGAAAAGCTCAGCCGGTCTGACAGCATCTGTGAAGGTAAAGCAGAGTTACCGTTTCGGGTCCAGTGACCCTTCCTCAGAACACCCAAAATGTTAACGCTGATTTTTCTTCACAGATGCTGCTAGGCCTGCTGAGCTTTTCCAACAACTTCTGTTTTCGTTCCGGATTTACAGCATCCGCAGTTCTTTGGGTTTTTATTTTGTCTTAAACTGGGCCTTGGGAAAGCATGTTGTCAGACCTTGATATCTAATATTCTGCTTGTCTTCTTAAGATAGAAAATCTGCCATCCCAAATTCATTGTGCTCAAGCAGTCACTCTGATTAGTTACTACAGCTCTGTGGCACATGTAAAATGCTAACTGACTAATTTAAGTGACTGTAAAGGAGATACAAGTCACCAGCTGCTCTTTCAATAAGCCCACTCTCTCTGAGCTTCACATAAATGAGAGGACAGTGGAAGAGATGCACGAGAGAGAAGAGAGACAAGGAACGTTGCATTTGTTGGAGGTGAAGACAAGGTCAAACAGAGAGGGCCTGGGTCAAGAAATTGCTGGAGAGGGCAAGAGGGGTGGTTTGGAAAGCAGAGGAGCATAGTGATGTATTTGGTTTCATTTTTACCATGATGACCTCAACTGCCCATCTGTTTCTCCTCTCTCTCCAAGCCTTCTAAGTCGTCTGTGCCCCGAGTAATACAATATCCTGTTAATTAACTGGCACCACCCATTCCAAAAGCATGCCAGATTGCACAAGTTTAACAGTATTTGGAACACTTTACACTATATGAATGTTACCTAATAGTCTGGGCTTTACTCCAGACTTGAAAAGCTAATGCCTAAACAACTCCACTACAGTGACTCCTCCTTCCTTAAATTGATGCACATCTTCAAAATCCTAATCCAGTTTCCTAATATTAAAAGAAAGTCTATAAAAATAACCAAGGTCAACTTCCATAGTATCTGAAGAACAATCATAATTAAGTGCAGTAGATATTATGGAAGAATGTTGTCGAAAGCAGTGGTACAGGATGGAGCCAGTAAACCTCAAGATCCATGTTTCTCCATTCACAGTCAAGTCCCCATTTTCCAACTCCCAAGCATCCAGAATTCTGAAGCAACTGGCAATCAAGATTCAAAATAGGAATTCCAAATAAGATGTTACTGGTATTTGCAATTGGAAGGGAATAATTGGTCAGATGCATTATTAAAGCTGGCACAAGACTGACCTTATCGATTAAGACAGATTCATCTAATGTGGCTAGGTTTACTGGCTTTGGTCCTGGCCACTTATTTTTAAAATGCACATTCATCATGTGGCAGCAACAAGTTGAGTTGTCCCAGCCATCTGCTACTATTTCTCATGTAACTGACATATTCAGCTAACTGGAACTTGCCACTTATTCATGCTGGATACCAGGGAGGTTACTGCATTGTGGAGTTTCCACAGCATATGTCTTTTGGGCCTGAATGACAAAATGCCTTCCAATCATGTCTGGTGTTTTCCAAAATAGTCCAAATTGTTAATCGAATCCCCAGCCCCAGGCAAGGTCTGATCCCATCCTGAGGGTGAAAAGGTTGCAAGAACGAGGAGCACTGCAGATGCATGGTTTTGTCCCAAGGCTATTCTCACCGTGCTGCAGTTGAGGTTTCCCGGAGGAGTGGGAAACCCAGCCAGCTACAGTAAAACCTTTAAAGGTTAAAATCCAGGCTTCTAATCTCATGAAAAGCACCAACTGCCTCTGGGGAGTGAAGTGGTTGCATGCACCACCAACACCGCCACCGCCACCCCCCGGAATAGTAATGATGCTGCCTGGATTAATCTAGGAGAATTGCATTATCTGTACGCGACTTCTCACCCACATCAAGACAGTTGTCTCTCAAATGACCCTCTGATGAGGTCTAGCAAGCCATTCAGACACGTCTGCTCCAAAGCATAACAAGTTCTATTTGAAAGACATCCTGATTACACAAAATGAAATGATTCAAGGTGACCTACAAGCAACTTCACATGGCAGCTAGAAATAGCATTGAATTCCAAATTTGCCAAAAGACACCTATTTAAGGCAACAAGTCTCAAACAGTTAAAACTACAAAACCTTAGTCAAGGTATATGAACTTGGATCCTGATAATGAATTCAGATTGCTATTCTTATTTTATTACACTTCAGATGGTGTTGGACAGTGACCAGAATATCTGTTGCGTGTAATCTCAGGACAATATTACGTCTGCTGTATAACATTACACCTTTGAATAGGAATTGTGTTCATTTTAGAATGTTACCACATATTTAGACATTAAATGAAAAATGCATGTTATATTCTTACCCCAGCAAACTCCCCAACGAGCTTGGTCTAAAGGGCATATTGAACGAGGAGGAATTATAGTTTCAACAGGATACTTCATGCAACGTTGATCAACAAAACACCACAGGCACTGGAAGACAAGGGTTCAAAACATGTGTTAAAGCTGCCCAAAAAGCTCTCAATAATGACACAGTAAACTGAAGTTTCATGAGTGCAATCTGTGCCACTCTATACCCACTTATATTGTGCCTTAAATTTGAATCACTGTTTCTAAACTAAATACACAAGATCTACCACATTTAAGTTAAACATACAAAGTCTTTTGAAATAATAACATGATCCACTCTACATAAAAAAGAAAGTTCCAGTTGACATCAAGAATTTTAGGCAGTATTTACAAATGTTGTTCAGGAAAACTCAAAAACAGCTCAAAACAAAGTGCTAGAATTTATGCAAAACTTTTACTATTTTCTCAATTTCATTTTTTTTAACAATATCAATGTGAAAGTCCAACTAGATTTTACAGTGTATACCCTTTAACTCCAATCAAAGAATGCACTTGTATACTGTTGACATTGCTTTGTTTGATCTGCAATGTTTAGTGAAGTAGTCTACTCATTGAACAATGCGCTAATTTACATATTTTAGTTGCCACGCTCAGAACAGTAAGGAATACCTCAAATATGACCATTGGCCCCCAAGCCCTGATTTTTCAAAACAAAACTACAGTCTTAGTTGTAAACTTGCAATATTTTGCCTTTATTTACTTTCTTTCAATTCTAACTTCTACTAAAAAGCTTGAATTATTTCAGGATGTTTAAAGATTCTAAATGGAGTAATCTAGGGCTATTCTGACAAGATTCCTAATAAATGCAAATCCACAGTCTAAAACTTTTCAAAGTCATTACATTGCAACTAATTTTGCAAGTTTATTTCAGATACTAAAGGAGCTGGCAATGGCAAGTGTAGGACTTTTGCAAGGATGGATTTTAATTAGCAGAGAAACATTTTTGTTAGGAAAGATGGGATTGTCTGTTTATTTTGTTAGAAGAGCAGAAAATTGTTGTTAAACAAGCAATGATGTCATATTTATAGTGACTAAAATGCACCTTGTAAACATCAATAGGAATGAAAAAAAAGAGTGCTGCTGCAAGTTTGTCTTTACAATACAAGTACCTCGAAAGTAGATAAAATTCTCCAAACTGGGCTTTGAATTCTGACTTCACTGTGTTTGATGGGAGTTATCTGTTTACATTCAGCAATATGCATCAAAAGTAAACAGATACCAACCATCTAGAACAATGAAACTAATCTGTCAAAAAAGTAAATGAATGGTTATTTGACAGATTCAGTTAAATCAATGCCACTGCAATTAAAGGTAATTTCCTTTTATTTCAAAATATTCCTAATATAATGAAGGAATCTCAGTTTGAAATAAAGAACACTCACAGAAGAAATCAATAAGTAAACACATAAGCAGTAGAATACAATCGCAGTTCTAAATTATTGTTATAAGAAAGTTAAACTGCAACTTTTAAAACTAAAATGACTTATTTGGTAAGATACCAACCATACATATTTGCCATTTCAAGACCAAAGAGTGTCATGCAAATTATCATAGAAATCCTACAGTATGGAAACAGGCCCTTCAGCCCAACAAGTCCACACCGAACCTTGGAGCATCCCACCCAGACCCATCCCCTTACAACCCACCTAAACACTGCGGGCAATTTAGCATGGCCAATCCACCTAACCTGAGATAACAAGGTGTGGAGCTGAACGAACACAGCAGGCCAAGCAGCAGCAGAGGAGCAGGAAAGCTGATGTTTCGGGTCTAGACCCTTCTCTTTGGGCCACGGGAGGAAACCGGAGTACCCGGAAGGAAACTCATGCAGACACGGGGAGAACGTGCAAACTCCACACAGACCGTCGCCTGAGGGTGGAATCAAACCCAGGTCCCTGGCACAGTGAGGCAGCAGTGCTAACCACTGAGCCACCGTGCCACCCCCAAATCGTAATGGCAGTTTACAGAATGTTAGAATCAGATTTTCAAAACTGAAATCAACTGATTAAACAACATTATTCAGGACATGTGCACGAGGTAAGAATCCTTGGCTGAGAGAATATGGAATTGTAGATCTTCACAGAGAACGTCAATTTTTGAGATGAGCACAAGAACGTTACAGTTACTGACACTGTTGTTGCTCTTTAAGGCGGGGGGGTGGTGACTTTGGGGGAAGAAGGCTCATTTTAAAGGACATGATCCTGATTGAAACTTCATAAGGAAGTTGTTCTTGACATCTGTGCTAATGAATTTCATACCACTAAAGGGCCAAATTATTTTTCTCTCCCACAAATGAATAAAGACTCAATCTATAAATTTCAGGATATTCATTAATAAATTGATTAAAAAATTCATACTTACATGGACATTTTCCAAGCACCTTTCACAAGATGTATTTGTAAAATCTGAGCAATCTATACAAAAGCAAAGAAAAACTAGTGGCAGAAGGTATAATTTTGTTTTCTTTAGTTGCTTGAACATGACATCAGAAGAAAATTAGAATTCTATGACAAGATTAGATAATTAGAAATATCAATGGAAATTCACAGGTTTGACCTGTACTAACAAAAACACGCAAGTGTTATCGTAAGATACCATTTTTCTTGTAGTTATCCACCTCTTGTCTGAAACACCTGTAAACATACTATGGGCTTAATCATCTCCAAATCAAAGAATTTCAACAAACGGTTCAAGGAATCAACATTAGACCAAGAAACTACATGCTTGAAGTCTTCATTCTAGTTTACAATTCATGCTGAAGTTTAAATTGAAAACAATGTCTGGCATGGTTTTGGATGCTCTCCTTTTTACAAGTTAGCAGAATTAATATCCTCTTAAGTGAAATCATCAAGTAGCCATTTCAAAAGTCTTTATTCTTTCACTTGAACCTGTCAACTCTTTGACAATAACAGACATGACAATTGTTTTATTCGTCACACAAGTGGATGAGTGGTTTGGGTGTTATGGAGGGGGATTGCTAGTGGTGGGGGGGGTGGATACTGGAAGGAATGGGCAGGCGCTAACGTGGGAGGGAGGGTGGTAGTTGGGGAGATGCTGGGAGGGAGCTTGGATGCTAGTGGAGCATTGGGTGAATAAAACTAAGGGGGTGTGTGCTTGTTGCTGGTGGGAGTGGATGGGTACATGAATGGATAATATTTGGAGGCTGCGTGCTGATTAGGGAGAGAGTAAGTGAAACTGAAGGGAATGTGCGTGCTGGTTTGAGGGGCCGGGCGCTGGTTTTGTGGGAGTGGGTGATACCGAGGGATGGTGGTCCTGGGTTTTGTGGGGGTGAGGGGTGTGTTATACTGGAAGGGTGGGTGCTGGTGTGGTTGAGGAATGGGTGATACTGGGAGAGGGTAGACGCTGGTTTGAGGAGGTGTGGGTGTTATTGGAGGAAGATGGTGCTGATTTGGGGGAGTGGGGTAGCGGGTGACTTTGAAGGAAGATGGTGCTGGGCTGGGGGGCTGGGGGGCGGGTGACTTTGGGGGAAGAAGGCTCTGCCCAGGGTCGGCATGACATTTGACGACGCACAGCCCAGAGAAGGCGGCACTCTTACCTCGCACCGCCGGTCGGAGGGTGACCTGGCTCCCGCCGGACCCCGTAAGGAGGAGAAAGAGAAAGACGGACATTTCCTTCACTCCCAACAACTCGATATCATCGCTTTCCCTTCCTGAGCGACCGGGAAACCCCGCCCCGACCAGAGCGGTGCGCAGGCGCTACCCCGCGCGAGCATCGGGACTCAGCAACAAAACTATTGTCCCCACTGTACAGTGCGCGCACGCGCGTGTATGTGCGAGTGTGCACGTGCGCGCGTGTACATGTGAGTGTATGTGCGCGCAATGCTACCATTTGCCCAGAAACTTTTGAGTGTTAGTGTGAAAGCTGGAAATGTTACAAGATACTCGGCAGGTCAGGTCGTACCTGTGGAGACAATGAAATACAGTTAACTCGTCAGATACATCACCTTTCCTCCAGATTTCAAAGCTAATGTGGAAACAGGAGTCTCCAACTGTCCCTGCGGACCCATTTATGTTCCCAGCTTGTATGCTGATCTTAAAAGTCAATTCTAAGCTTGAGAAAACCAAAAAAAAAAACAAAATGCTGGAAATTTCTCAGACAATATCGACCGTATGTAAAGCAAAGAACTGTGGGCTGCTGGAGATCTGAAACAAAAGCATAAATTTCTGGAGAAACCCAGCAGGTCTGGCAGCATCTGTGGGAAGAAAGCGGAGTTAACATTTCGAGCCCAGTGACTCGTCATCAGGACTGGTTCTCATGAAGTGTCGCTGGTCATGAAACATCAACTCTGCTTTCTTCCCAAGGTAATATCTACAGTATTGTTGTCAACCCTCCAGGACCTGCCCTGAGTCTCCAGGATTTTCTAGTTGCTGTGTTTAAGCCTGGAAAAAAAATCACAGGAACACGAAAAAGTATTGTTTTTGCCACTGTTTCCAACATTTCTCTTACCAGGTGCAAAAATACAAAAAATCTGGGGGAAGTGGTGGAAAGGCTCATTTGGTTGACAGTCAAGCATCATCCAATTGGATAATGATTCTTTTAGCTTTCAAATTGGTGCAGAAAGACACAATGTAAGGATGGATGTGTTGACTGACTAATGGCAGAAAGAGGAGTGAACAGTGTGAAAAAGTTGCTCTTCAGGTCCCTTTTAAATTTTCTTTCCTTACCTTAAAAATATGCCCTCTAGTTTTGAATTCCCCTACCCCAGGGGAAAGACCTTTGCTATTCACGTTATCTATGCCCCTCAAGATTTTATAAACCTCGAGAATATCAACTTCCTATGCACAAGTGAAAAAAGTCCCAGTCTATTCAGCCGCTCCTTATAATTCACATCCTCCAGTCCCAGCAACATCCTTGTAAATCTCTTCTGAACCCTCTCCAATTTAATATTATTGAGGGATAGTCAGCATACTTTGTCAGGGGCGATCAGATCTGACAGATTTGATTTAAGTTTTTCGGGAAGGTGACAATGTATGAAGGTAGAGCAGTGAATGTAATCTACATGGACTTTGGTAAGGTCAAGTGGGGACAAACTCAGGAGATCCATGGCAATTTGGCAAATAAGATATAAAACTGTCTTAGTGGCAGGAAGCAGGGAGTGATAACCAAAAGCTTTTCTTGTGACTGGAAGCCTGTGTCCAGTGGCATACTGCATGGTTTGATGCTGGATCCCTAGCTGTTGGTGGTGTACATCAATGATCTATATATGAATGTAGGAATTTGATCAGTAAGTTTGAAAATTCCATGAAAATTGGTGGTAGGTTAAATAGGAAGGAGGAAAACTTTAGACTATGGGATAATATAGACGGGCTAGTCAGATGGGCAAATAAGGTGACAAATGGAATCTAATTCTGCAAAAAGTGAGATGATGTATTTTGGGAACACTAACCACGTAAAGAAGTGGTATGATCAATGGTTGGATCCTAGGAAGTAAGAGGATCAGAGGGACTTTGGTAGAAGGGGCTTTCTGCACCAGTTATAATCTCCTCCGCTGCAGCCCTTCTCAGGCATACATTCTCCTAGTCTGCTTCACAGTGATGCTGACTTTTTGCACAGTCCTCCCAGTCTCAAAACCTTGAGCAAACATTGGAATTGGCTGGCTTCCATTTTCCATTCAAGTGTGATAGTTGAATGCTGAAAAATGAACAAAATGTTGGTTGCAACTTAGTGAAAGAGGTTGAGAAGAAAGAGGGACTCCTTCTCCCCTGTTCGCAATATACCTGATGGGTTTAGTAGATGTTTTAGGTTACTATGCTGCATTGATTTATAACTTGATATGGGAATGTGAAAAAGCAGAACAATTTGAAGAAGCTGGTAAGCTAGTTAGTGGCAATAATAGCAGGATGCTGACTCAGAAACAGGAAACCACACTAAACACCCACATGCTTGTAAGTAGCAGTGTCTAAAGAAATGAGAAAATATGTAATTACTTTCGAAAATTTGATTATTGTGTAAAACTAATGCCAAGATCATTGTAACTTCACAGCCCCACACTGAATATACCAATGCAACAATCAGAATGTTGTCTATTTCTAGCATAGCTTGTTCTTGGTTTTAGAATTCATTGTTATGATTCTAGTAACTTGAGTCACAATTATTAACAAAAAAAAAGTTAAGTGAAATACCAATGAATGTCAGTTTCCACAATTTGGAAATTTATATTGTTCGACTTTCTCTTATATTTGTAAAATGGTTCATACAGAAATAATTGGAGCTCAAAAGCAAGTCTTGGGCTTAATATGAAAATTAATTGATTGATTGATTGATTTATTGTCATGTGAACCAAAACACAGTGAAAAGCTCTGTTTACAAGTGGTACAGGCAGATCATATTAAGCAAAGGATGTACAAATCAAGAAACACGTTTATGCACAGCATCCACAATTTCACTTCAGTTACTAGCAACATTTGTCTCCATACTGAAACTTACAGAAGACTTTTGTGAGATTTGAGTGTTTTATGAATCAATAAACTTATTGTGCCATTGTTGGTTGTCTCAATGGTTATCACAATCCTAGACCAGGTGGGGGTCTCTGTCTTGGAAAAGATTTTAAACTAAGACCATGCCTGTGTTCTCAGGAGAATATAAAAGTTTCTATTCTGAGGAAGTGTCACTGCACCCGAAACGTTCAGTCTGTTTGTTCCTTCACAGATGCTGCCAGACCCGCTGAACTTTTCCAGCTGAAGAAGGGTCCCGACCTGAAACGTCAGCTTTCCTGCTCTTCTGATGCTGCCCGGCCTGTTGTGTTAGAACATAAGAACGAGGAGCAGGAGTAGGCCGTCCGGCCCTTCGAGCCTGCTCCGCCATTCAATAAGATCATGACTGATCTTTTCATGGACTCAGATCCACTTACCCGCGTTCTCACCGTATCCCTTAATTCCTTTATTGTTCAAAAAAAATCTACCTTTATCTTTAAAAACGTTTACTGAAGTAGTGTCAACTACTTCACTGGGCAAGGAATTCCATAGATTAACAACCCTCTGGGTGAAGAAGTTCCTTCTCAATTCAGTCCTAAATCTGCTCCCTCTAATCTTGAGGCTATGCCCTCTTGTCCTAGCTTCACCTGCCAGTGGAAACATCCTCTCTACTTCTATCTTATCTATTCCCTTCATAATTTTATATGTTCCTATAAGATCCCCCCTCAATCTTCTGAATTCCAATGAATATAATCCCAATCTACTCAGTCTCTCCTCATAAGCCAACCCCCTCAACTCTGGAATCATCCTAGTGAACCTCCTTTGCACCCCCTCCAGTGCCAGTACATTCTTTCTCAAGTAAGGAGACCAAAACTGCACGCAGTACTCCAGGTGTGGCCTCACCAGCACCTTGCACGGCTGCAACATAACCTCTCTGCTTTTAATTTCAATCCCTTTAGCAATGAAGGACAAAATTCCATTTGCCTTCCTAATTACTTGTTGTACCTGCAGACCTACCTTCTGTGATTCATGCACAAGGACACCCAGGTCCCTCTGCATAGCAGCATGCTGCAACTTTTTACCATTCAAGTAATAATCCTTTTTACTATTACTCCTATCAAAATGTATGACTTCACATTTATTTACATTGTATTCCATCTGTCAGACCTTTGCCCACTCACTCAATGTATCTATGTTCCTCTGCAAAGTTTCACAGTCCTCTGCACACTTTCCTCTGCCACTCATCTTAGTGTCATCTGCAAACTTTGACATCCTACACGTGGTTCCCAACTCCAAATCATCCATATAAATTGTAAATAATTGCGGTCCCAACACCGATCTCTGAGGCACACCACTAGTCACTGACTGCCAGCTAGAATAGCACTCATTTATCCCCACTCTTTGCTTCCTGTTAGTCAACCAATCCTCCATCCATGCTAATACTTTACCCTTAACGCCATGCATCCTTATGCAGTAGCCTCTTGTGCAACAACTTGTCGAAGGCCTTTTGGAAATCTAGGTACACCACATCCACTGGGTCGCCATTGTCCACCTTGCTCGTAATGTCGTCATAAAATTCCAAAAAATTTGTCAAGCACGACTTGCCCTTCATGAACCCATGCTGCGTCTGCCCAACGGGACAATTTCTATCAAGATGCCTTGCTATTTCTTCCTTGATAATAGACTCAAGCATCTTCCCCACTACAGAGGTTAAGCTAACCGGTCTATAATTCCCCATCTTTTGTCTACTTCCCTTTTTAAACAGTGGCGTCACATTTGCTGTTTTCCAATCTGCTGGGACTGCCCCAAAGTCCAGCGAATTTTGGAAAATTACTGCCAGTGCACCTGCTATTTCTCCCGCCATCTCTTTTAGTACCCTGGGATGCATTCCATCAGGGCCAGGAGACTTATCAATCCTTAGCTCCATTAGCTTGCCCAACACTACCTCTTCCGTAATAATGATTGTTTCCAGGTCCTCACCTACCTTCGTCTCTTTGTCAATTACTGGCATGTTATTAGTGTCCTCCACTGTGAAGACCGATACAAAATACCTGTTCAATGCCTCGGCCATTTCGTCATATCCCATAACTAAATTCCCCTTCTCATCCTCTAAAGGGCCAATGTTTACTTTAGCCACTCTTTTTCGTTTTATATATTTATAGAAACTTTTGCTATCTGTCTTTATATTCTGTGCTAGTTTTTTCTCATGTTCTATCTTACTTTTCTTTATAGCTCTTTTTGTGGCTTTCTGTTGACCTTTAAAGTTTTCCCAATCTTCTAGTTTCATGCTGTTTTTGGCCACTTTGTATGCCTTCTTTTTCAATTTGATAGCCTCCCTTATTTCTTT